TATATGAGAGTGAGAGTTAGGGTTTTTAGTGATTTGTATTGGATTAGAGTGAGTCTTTCTTATTTTCAATTGTATTTTGATTTGTAATTGTATCCAAGAATTCTTGACATAATATGAGAGTTCTTTTCTTATTTTGGGTTGATTTTATGAATCTTAACAAGCTTTTCAAAATAATTAATATATAAAGCTTTACTTTATGTTCTCTTAGTAAATCTATTCCTATTCTTGTATGCTTCAAGTTCTCGTAGTTCCCTGATAACAAGTGAACGATTAATGCATGCTAATAATGACTCACATTCACTTCCCGATATCTTTACATTTCCTAAGCCAGGCTGGAGCCTCTCTCATATGTTAAAAAAAAAAAAATCGACACTGCATAGTAGGTAGTAATTGAATGGAAATCTGTTGCTAGAACGTGTTTATACCTTATGGAGGAAAGATAAGTTGTTTTTGTTTTGAGAATGTAAGAATTCGTAGCATATATAGTAAAAAAAATACTGTATGGAATTATTTATTATATATAATAATTATATGCATTGTAGTTTTCAGTCTTGCTATGAATATACTTATTAAATATGTTTCCTTAAAAATATTGAACAAAAAACTTACTTGAATATTCAATGCTTCCACAATTGTATTGATGATCCTATCCACCGTAGGGCGTTTGCTTACGTCCAAGTTAATGCACTCATGTGCAATTTTATTAAATTTTTCAAAGGAACTCATATCAATCTGATCTTTGATAGTGGAATCTATTAACCTGTCAAGTCCATCAACTAGTCCACCATCGTCATAGTAGCTTCGGACGTGGCCAATCAGATATAGTTCCTTAGTATCTTCAAAGCGCCATTCATTATAAGCCATCATCCCACTCGACACTTCAAACATTATCACTCCAAATGAATATATGTCGGACTCTTTTGAGAGCGTACCTCTTTCCTTGTAAACCGGATCCATGTAAAAGCTTGTACCACAAGGCCTTGTACAGACGCGGGTATCTTGCTGATTTCTTGGACTTCGTCTTGACAAACCAAAATCACATATATTGGCTTCCATATTTTCATCTAACAAAATATTTGCACTCTTCAAATCTCTATGAATTACTCTGCTGTGCTCCCCAACACCCGAGTGAAGGTACTTGATTCCTCTTGCTGCCCCCAAACATATCTTAAGGCGTTGTTCCCATGTTAGACAACGTCTCTTCTCTGGGTCGCAGAGGTTTTGTTCAAGGCTACTGTTACTAGCATACTTGAAAACTATAATTTTTTCGTTTGCATCGTCACAGTAGCCAACGAATGGGATGATGTTTGGATGATTAAAACTTGAAACCAAGTTGACTTCTTTAGTGAACTGGTTGGTTCCTTGATAAGCTTTCGGATCAAGGCGTTTGATTGCTACTAAGTATTTTTTCGGGTGTTCAGAGACTTGTCCTCTGTACACGGTACCAAATCCACCTTCACCGACCTGATTTTTTCTACTGAAGTCTTTTGTGGCTCGAATGATCGCCTCAAGTGGAATTCGAAAGTCTTCTAGGTTTACCTGTGATGAAGACATTGGTTTTTATATTTGTGATAGATTATGAGTGGTTATATATCGTGGTAGCAGCTTTTCTCTGTGAATATATATAGAACCCAGTTTGTTTAGAAGCGCGTACCTATAACGGTTGACTAGCATCAAGTGCTTTAAAAGTTAAATGTTGTATCTTGTATATTTTAGATTATTAAAATCATATAATAGGTGTAAGAGTCAAAATAAAAGTGAATATGAAAACTCGAAGTCAGCATAATAAAAAAACAATTTCGACTATCCTCAACCGAACATCAATCTGGAGTTGGTAATATTTCACTTTTTGTATTTATTTTATTCCCAACCATGCATGCGATCCATGTATCCCAGTTGTAACTTCTAAACAGAGAAACAAAACGTGTGGGTCAATTGTGAAAGAGTCAAATGAAAATAGGAACATTTATTATGGCTGTTTTTTCTCAAGGCTTGTGTAAGTAGATGATTCAGAGAGAGACCAAGTCCAAGGGAATTTTTATTCAAGAGATTCCTTTTTTGAGTGTAAAGTGTAAACAACGGTATTATAGAAGATTTGGAAGAAACTAGTGGAACAAGCACGATAACAGCGGAGTATGCTCTTTATTTTTAAAATGTTAAAGTCGGAAGATGGTTTTAAAATGTTAAGTTTTAATGTAAGATGGTTTTATATAAAGTAGCTAATTGTTAAAGTCGGAAGATGGTTTTAATGTAAGATGGTTTTAAAATGTTAAGTTTTAATGTAAGATGGATTGCCACTCGCTTTTGGTAATTCTGAAAGTCATGGATCTCTTATTACCCGGATCCAACCCGATGCTATACAAACAAAAGGTTAAGTTGAATAGATAATCGTTTTTTCCTTTTAGATTAGTAATCCAGATTTTTAACAAAATAGTTGTGTTTGAAATTTTTTTTACCAAATAGACGTATTTTTTAAAATATTTATCAAAACAGTATAGTAGTCAAAATAACTACATTCCGAGATAGTTTCAGCGTCGGGAATATTCTGTATGGTTCAGATTGTTAAGAGAAGTCGTAATAACTGCGTTCCGAGATAGTTTCGCTTGTTTGAGAGTCAATCGAGCTATTGGTTTCCTGGATTTTGGGAGGATTGTGATGGTCTTCTTCAGTGGTAAAAGTTAGTGGGTCAAGGATTCATTATTGGTTGGGGTGCATGAGTTTCGATAAGATTGGGTTAAGGATATTAAGGGAAGGTAGTCGCCTGAATGAGCTGACTTTTGGTTCGGATCGGGTTCCGGGGAGAACAGTCTGAGTGGCCAGAGGTGAGATGCGGGATCATTACCCTGAGTTGGTTGTAGTAGTGGACTTCAAGGACGAAGTTTGATTTAAGTGGGGGAGAATTGTAACATCTCAACTGTCAAGTATTTTCCTTTTAACCTCTTAGTATGAGAATTATCTGCATTTCGGCCCTTGGTGGCATTTTGGTGATTTTGGCCAAAGACTTAGTACGTTGGGCGTACTCCACGTATGCAGGGCGTACGTGGTGGATCCTCAAACCCTATTTTTTAGGGTTTGGTCTCTCCCTATCTCTCTCTCTCTCTCTCTCTCTCTCTCTCTCTCTCTCTCTCTTTCTCTCTCTGTCTCTTTGTATATATATATATATATATATATATATATATATATAACATTACTCCTCATTTCTCATTCACCCTTCAACCTCCACTTGCCATTTCGTCATCTAGAACCCTAATCCTCCTTGAGAGTGTTCTTGAACTTTTTTTTTGGTATTTTTGGTGATTAAGAAGGAAGGAGAAGAAGAGAGGACCACCTTGGAAGAGTGAGGGACTTTAGATCCAGAATCTCATCACCAATTGGTATCATTTTAAGGTAAAAAGCTTTGAACTTGATGATGATTTGTTTAAGATCTTGCTAGCCTTGAAGTTGTGATCATTTTGGTCCCATTAGGTTGGCTTTAAGAGTATGGTTTACTCTAAGTCATTTGAGCAGTCCTATTAGATATTTCGGAGTGTTGTGATGCATAAAAATATGATCTTGAGTGTTGTATGTAACCCATGCATGTGATAGATGGTCTTATTGGGTTAAGAACTTAAGGTTTTGGACATTAAGCAATTTATAGGCATGGAAAGTCATAAAGTTGGAAACATTATGACTTAAGACATCATTTTGAGCTTGACTCTGAGTTTTAGACACAAGGGCTAAATGGAGTAAGCTCTTAATGAAGTTTTGGGACTGGGATACATACACTGGATGTACCTGGAGGTACATTGTGCGTACGCGGTCAACGGCCCATTTTTGGTCAACATCGGAGTACGCTGGGCGTAATCTCCTGGTACGCATGGCGTACTACGTTAGGAAGGGACTTTGACTTTTGTTGACTCCACTGACCGTTGACTTTTGACAAAGTTTGACTTTAGGTCAAACTTGAAGGCTTTGATTGTTGATTAAGATTTTGTTTCGTTCTGAAGTTAGTGGATCCACAGGAGCAAGTAATGTAGTAGGGAGCGTATCACAGTGTTCTCGGGTTTCTTCATTTGAGGTGAGTTTCGCCCCATCGTATCGTGCATCGAAGGCACTAATGTCGGCCCACTAGTTGTGGTTATTTATTGGTAGAGGGATGCCTTAGGGACTGTATATGGTCATGTAGGATAGACTAAGGACTCTTGGTCTAGACTCTTTTACCTGTTCACTGTTTGGTTGTGGTTCTAGAGTAGGATCACCTGTTCGAGTGGCTATCTCACCGTTGAGTATATACGGTTATGCATTCCTGGTATGTTGATATTTAGTATGTGGAAAATTAGTATGTTACTATACAGTAGTGATCTGTTAGATCGGTATCTTGGTATATGGGATGTGGCTCTGCGGTAGTGATCAATAGAACTATATGTTATATGTACTTGCTGGTTATCAAGGCTTTATTGCATGTTCCTTGTTTAGTTGTGGCTCTAGAGTAGGATCATCTGTTCGGGTGGCTATCTCACCTCTAGGTACTTATGGTTACGCATTTCATGGAGGTTAGATGGTAGTGGGACTGTGTGTTGTGAGAGGGCTAGTAGATGGTGGTGAGTTGTATGATTTTTGTTTGTTTGTATTATGTGCCTGCTTGTTCCTTGTTTGTTAATATGTCGACATATGATAGTAGTAGGTTGAGGCGGTCCTGCTTTATGCTGTAGGCCAAGATGCCTGATGCAGGCCAGCTGTAAGCCGTAGGTACGGAGGCTCGGGAAGAGCGGTTAGGTTGAGGCGGTAGGTCAGCAAATCTTGGGTATTCTATCCCGATGACTGATTGGACCCGTTGCATGTTGGCATTCCAGTCCAAGGACTGATGGGGCCTGGGCATTCCAGCCGGGAGGTTGTGGGCCATTACGCATGCTTGTATGTTTTTCGTATGGGGATTTTTGGGGGAAACTCACCAAGCTTTATGCTTATACAGTTGTTTATTCTTTCAGGTATCATCGGTGGCTATGGGAAGACGAAGGCGGGACTGTACACACTCATCAGTAGCATTGAGGATTCCGCGTTCTCTATGATACTCTGATTTTGAATAAATGTAATTTGGAATAAACTGTTTTCTTAATAATGAATTTATAAATTGGGAAGTTTTATCTTAATAAAATGAAAATTTTTTATTGTAAAAAATGAGAAATTACATGATTATTATTACGCATCCATGAATTCTACATCATATGGTTAAAAGAGCTTGGTTTAGTGAGTGAACCATCGATAAAACCAACTTTATTTTTAACAAATAAACAACACCGCTTGACTCTATGAAGGATAATTCTAACCGATTAAAGGCTGAGAAACTAGAATACAACCGGGATTGTCAAAATGATGTAGTCAATATGGATTGAGACGGTCATCAATCGCAGAGAGTGTAGAACCAGTCAGATAGATCCAGGAGCATCACTAGTTGACGTCATTGAAACAAATGAATGAAATTTGAAGTCGTTGATTTGAATAATAAAAATCAAAATGATTCAAGAAGAAAATTATCGAAATTGAAACAACTCAGGAACATAGATAATATGAATGTTCAAGAACAAAAGCCAAATTTCAGCATTCTTTGCCCTGATACCATATTACCTAGAGAAGAAATATACCATATTACCGAGAGAAAGAAAATGAGAGAATTGAATTGCTTTATTGATTGATTCTAATTACATCAAGTAACTACTATATACATCAAACAAACTGATCAACTATAACAAATTCTAACTGACAGAGTAATCTAAATTTCCAAACTGCCCTTGCTGAGTTAATTTACCGAAATTTCCCCTTCTCCTTCCTTGATAACATATGTCTCCTTACATAACAAATGACAACATTGTGTTGTGCTGAGCATGACCTTCAAATTTCACAAGTCAGTTGTGATGGTTAGATGTGCTAAGGTTATCACACGTACTTATTTAGGCCGAAGCTCGATACCCTCCACAATAAGACCCTCCTTCCAGTGTAAATCCTTAACCTCCTCAAACGTCATCTCAACCTCCCCACTATCTCCTTCGTTGTACTCAAATTCTCCCAACTTGATCTCCATCCATCCATCCTTTCTCCTATGAGGAAACACATCATTTTCTTGCCATATTTCACAAGCCTTAGGTCGTTGAAGATACACATTTTCAGTCACCATTCCTATCCCATTAAAACTCACAGTAGTTTTAGATGTCACAGAAAGTCCCTTAGAATTGCTAGTAGTTCGAAAGACAAGATACGCTACATATGTGCTGTTTTGTGACAACATTACAGATGCTATTTTGCCACGAATTTGAAGCCAGCATACTTTTTTAAGTATGCACACCTCCGCAAACCTACACAAATGGAAACATATGTTAGTTAGATTATAAAGGAACGACCCTAAAAGGGTTAAAGGGACGACAGAGACCTTGATTCAGGTATGTGTCCCCATTTCCAGCATTCATTGTCTTCTTGCAATGCGATGTATAGCTCCTTTGCGCCCAACATATAGCAGTTTTTCCCAGTCTCCATATCTAGCTGGAAGCTCTGTTAATTGAATTATGTAAGAGCAAATCATAGTTAGTAGAAGCATTGTTTAACAGTTATATCTGAAAAATACTATTCAAGAGCTTCTCATCGTGCATGGTAACAATGGTTTAGAAATTTTCCATGGTCTATGAAAAGGTTATTACAAATTAAAGGAAACTGTGTAAGCACGCATATAAAAAAGGAAATATGGTATTCCAAGGATGATTGATTTACCAGATAACCACGACCAGGGGTGGAGCTTCAACATATAATTTGGGGGCTGAAAATATAGTATGTATAAAAATGGTAAGCAGGGGGCCACAACCAAAGTTTTATATTTTTTGGGTCTAAAATGTATAAAATGGAACTAAAAGGACTATATCAAACCAAAAAATCAGGGGGGCTACAACCCCTTGCCCTAATGAAGCTCCGCCAATGACCACGATCAAGGAGGATATGTGTGTACGTTAAGCTGAAGTAGAGTTGATTTTTAGAGCCAAAATCGAGGGGAGAAACGGCTCTGGCAATGACTTCCTGGTAACCCAGTGGCAGAAGCCGCCCCCACTGCTCTTCACGAATCTGTAGGTGAAATTAATTACTGAATCGTACCTCGAGTTCGTTCATCATGTGTGTGTTTTACTACAATATATAATTCCAACCAGTTTTTTGGGAAGTGTATGGGTGGATCTAGAAATTTGTTTGCTTTTTTGGGAAGTGTTTGGGTGTATGGGTACATTGTCATGGTTAGATCCTAGTTGTAATGTATAGTCAAGTTTTTGGTTGATTGCTTGTTTCAACAATGTATGTATGGTATGGTAGATGTAATGGGATGACAGTAGATGGGAACAGTTGTAATGACTTTTTGTAGATTCAATGAATGGTATGAAAGATCCTACTTCTTATATACCTTGCTAAATTTAATAATATGAATGTGCTCCTTTTAAAAATTGAAGTGTGGGTACCACATTGTCGGCCATAAAGACCTCACTTGGTCCATTTAAAAGTGCATTGTGTTTAGAGTTCTGTGCAGGGGTCCTTTTTGTACAAAAGTAAGGGCATATGGACCACACATGGTATATAAGGACATAATCAATGACAATTTAAAATTAGCTATATATGGAAATATATTCCTTTGCCACACAGTTTAACCACACAAGTCCTTACCATGCATTCAACTTCAAGATAACACAACAAAAAGCTCAAAATAACAACCAACTTAGTTAATACAAAATACATATCACATAAACCAACATAGTTTCATACAAACAACCATAGTTGAAAACAGTTTCATAAAAACAACAATAGTACACCAAAACACATAATTTAACACTACATACCATGTTCATATAACATAAACCAACACTTAAACTTATTCTAGAGTAAGAGGTTTAGCTTCTGAATTCCCAGGTGCATCCGCACCACCAACTATCTTAACTAGCTTCAACTTGATAATCCTTTCAGATTTCTTCCTCCTGATTTTCTTCAAAAAGGTTGCAATTGGTGTTTCTCTAGCCTCCTGTTGTTGCACATGAACCCGACTAGGTTCTCAATTTCCTGATGCATCAAAACCCAAAGGAGTGAGTTCCACCTCATCATAGTGTTGTTGCACATGCACCTCATTGACTGCGTCTCCACCATCATTTATTGCTCCTCCATCATCATTGACTGCTTGATCACCCTCATTCACTTCATCACCTTCATTCATTGCATTACCTTGATTACCTTCATTCATTGCATTACCTTCATCACCTTCATTCACTTCATCACCCTCATTGACTGCTTGAGCACCACCCTGATTGACCAATATGAAACATTATTAGAAATTAAGAAAGAAATTGTAAATATTTAACCATTTAAATACTTATTTACGTGTTTTGTTTTTCTTCTAGCTTTTATTTTAGGAGGCCTTGTCAGAGTACAAGCTCTTTTCTTGTGTCCTTCAATCTTACAAAGACTACGTTTTTGTTTTTTCCCAGCTTAAATACCTTTACCTTCAACTTACCTTTGTTTTGTGTTTGGGTACTCTTCTTTGATTTTTTACTTGACTGGTTTTCTATTTCATCCCTTTTCCTTTATTTGCAGGTTTCCCAGGCACAGGTGCTAACCTAAACTTGTATGCCTTCATGTAAGTGATGCTACCTAACATTTTGTCCACATAACTCTACATCCCTATTCATATAACTAATAGCTGCAACAGAATAGACACAACCCATTCCATTAAGCTGCCAAAGCCTGTACGAGCAAGTTCTTTCTTCAAGATATGTAGTTCCTCTAACTTCAAACTGATTTAGTCCACTAGGTAAGACTTGGTAATGTCTTTGAGATTTCTTAATCTCATTCACTAATTCTCTAATTGTTGGAAAATTTTGGTTGCCCCATCCTTGACCCTTGGATTTCTTCTTGAACACCTTCTCCATCATATACATCCTCAACTCCTCTAGCATGGTGATAATTGGTTTCTTCCTAGTATCAACAATCACAACTTTAAAACTTTCTGACATTCCATTCTCCACAACATCATTACATCTTCCTGGTTCGAAGCAGGCCCTTGACCACGTTTTGGGGTCTTTGTCCATCATCAACTGATGAGCACTTGCATCTAGCACTTCAAGCACTTTCATGGCAACCTTAAAATCTACCTCTGTGGTTGCTTTACATGCCTTCCAGAATATACTTTCATATTAGGCACCACTATACCTTTTCCTAAGGTTTTGGCTAATATGCTTGGCACACTACCTGTTCTCTACATATAGAAGGAGTTCTTTTACAGCCTCAATCAAACCATGTTAACAAATAGAAAGTATAGTGAATAAGGATGCAAATAGATAGGGAAATTAATTACAAACCATGAAATTACCTTGTGTTGATCCGATATTACACTGTATCCATTGCCTAAGTTAAGTCTCATGTCATCAATGAGTAAATCCAAAAACCACCTCCAATTTTCCTTATTCTCCACACATACTACTGCCCATCCAATAGGATAAATCCCATTGTTTGCATCCCTTCCAACAACACACAATAACTCTCATTTGCAGATCCCTTTAAGGAAGCAACCATCTACACCTATTATCTTCATGCATCCCTCCTTCCACCCCTTCTTCAATGCATCAAAGCAAACATAGAACTTACTAAAGTGCTACCTGGATTTGATCTCCTAATATCTTCTTTATACGACCATAACTTTGCATAATGTTCAAGTAGGGTACCATCTATTAATTAGAGTGCATATTTGTTATCTCTCCTGCATTGACCACCACTTACATGAATACCAAACTTCTGTGACACATCTATTCTAAGCTTTCTAACACTCACCTTTTGTCTAAGTAAGAATTCTCTTGTATAATGACTCCCTATCCAAGCATTAGTGACCATGGACCCTAACTTGTAGTTCCTTGCACATTTGTTGTCTGCCTTTAAAGACTTAATTTGGAAGCTTGATTCATCACTCATCCAAGATCCCCACTACCTGAATGTGCACTCACCCTTGGAACACTTAACCAACAATCTTTTCCTATCATTTTTCTCAAAGCAAAGTTGGTACCCATTTGGAACAACATAGTTGCATAACATTGATTTTAATTGAGCTGGATCTTTGAACCTCATACCAAGTATTGGGAACTGCTTTTTCCATGGAACTAACTCATTATTAAAAATAGAATGTTGGTGAGTTACATTGGCATCCTATTCACGCCCATCATCTCTGTTGTTATCATTTCCTTCTTCCTCTTCGCCACATAATTTATTTAGAAAGTCATCACCCTTTGTCCTATTCATAGTGAATATGTCCTCATTAAAGTTCACATCAACATCTTATAGGTTATCAATTTCGTCCTCAATCTCACCGCCATCAATGCATGAATCATCTACATCCCTCTCTTCTACGTCAGAACCAAACCAATCGTCTATGTCTTGACCATCATGGTCCATATACATACAAATTTTACCATTTGTCCCATATGCTTGAAAAATGAAACCACCATAGTCTTCATCATTAGCAATCGAGGTTCTAAAAGGCGTGATGCGTGGCGTGGCGGCAAGGTCAAACCTCAAGCTTAACGAGTTATGGCAAGCCATGACGTTTTTCAAGGTGTGATGTAAGGCGGCGATTTTGTATTAATTTATAATTATATTGCCGCATAAATATAGATTTATATCAAATATAACTAGTTTTTAAAAGTGTTATATCAACAACTAATAACAAAAAGTTAACAAAAAACACAATACTTGTATGTCCGATTAGAAAAGGTATAAAAAAGAGCAAAATAATGTGTCTCAAACGAAAAAACACGCGCCATATCATGCCTTGCCACGCGTCACGCCTAACAGTAACATTATGAAGCTTTTCATAACGGTGAAGCCGCGCCTCATGCCATGGCGTGCCTTTTAGAACACTGTTAGCAATATCAGTTATCCCAGATATTAAGGGCTTACCTGGTTCACAGTAGTATACCTTCTTTATACTTTCTTGCATGAACTGTTCAAGAAAGGTGATACATTCACCATATGTCATTCCAAAAAAATCGTGATCATTGAAAATGAAATTGATACCATGGTTATACGAGAAAGGATTTCTAAGAAAAACACCTTTGAAGTTCAGCTCCACCATAGGGTAGAGTCCATCAGGGTTTGGCATCTAGCTAGACATTATGGGTTGGTTGACTGCTCACTGACTTCGATCGGAGAAAACGACTTTGAACCGTAGGTTTAGTGCTTAGTAATCACTGTGAGATGAGAAAAAGGAAGAAAGAAGGAGAGTAGTTGTGGGTAAATAAATGTGTTTATTCTGACTTCTAAATCTTACGTGGATAAAATCAATGAAATATATAATTTAAACGTATTCCACGTAAGCAATACCACCGGTTGTTCCATTTACCGGGTGCATAAGGGGGTAATTAGCCGGTATTTACTAACATTAAGGATCAATTGAGCACAAAAAAAACGTGAGTGATCAAATGTGCAAATTGACCAAACATTGATGTGCGACAGTGTTGTAATCAAAAGTGGTTGGGTTGCCACTCGCTTTTGGTAATTCTGAAAGTCATGGATCTCTTATGTCCACAGGTTACTCGGATCCGACCCGGTACTACATAAACAAAAGGTGCGTTTGGTACAGAGAAATGGAATTATAGTAGAGAATGGAAATGCCGAGAAAATGAACAAAGTTGAGGAAGGCGAATTGATTCCACTGTTTGGTACAACAATGAATTCATCGGAGAAATATATTTGAGAATCAATTCTCTTATTTGGTTGTAATAAACAATGAAATGGAAATTAAATTTTTACCATGTTTATTTTTTAAACAACATTTTTTATAATTTATCAATCAACACAATAACAATAAGCTAACAAAACAAGAACAAGGGATTACATAGATGATACATGTCCGAGCCAATTTGATTTCTATGACCCTGTTACACGTATCTAATGAATAGAATGCAAAACTAATCAAAAGGGATTACATAGATGATACAAGTATGGAAGTCTTGAACACTTTGTCGAAACCAACACCAGCAACCCACCAAACTACCAGGATCTTCAAACCAACACGAGGGGCAAAAATGTCCGAAATATGAGAAGCATCAAAAAACTACCAGGATGTACAAGGAATGGCGTGAAAACTAAATTAAACAGCACCGTAAAAGCGATATCCCTTTGAAGCAAAATCTCAACAGGTAGTAAGTAGACCCAAGGGTAAAAAGGTTATAACTAGAAAAACTTAAGCTGCCAGTAAACCTTTAAACTGTGAATAGAGTAGGCAATCCCCAATCAATTTAAGCCATTAACTTTTAGGAGTGAAACCTGAACTTCTCAAAATCAGGGCATAATCGTTTCTTAGTGATTACATCTAAACGCTGCACTTTTATAAAGAGAAACAAATGCAATCAGATAAAGACAAACCCGGTACGTAACATACAACACAAAACAATTTTATTGAGGATTCAAAAAAGTTCCAGATTCATTGACTATTACTTGATTCACCTTAGCATCAGGAAATCGGTAACATTACTGTATTCCATGTCTGTTTTTCTTTACCTTTGACTTTTTTAGGGATGGATAACAATATTAGTTTTGTTAATTACTTTCAGTGGAATAGTTATTTGCTGAATTTGTTCATGGATAGGAAGAAAATAATCGAAGAAGCACGATTACAACGGAGTGTGCGCTTCATAAGGGTTAGACAATGACGTCATTCGAGTGTAGAGAAACCCTCTTAAAATACTCTATTTTATTTTTAAGATATTAAAGTTAAGTTTTAATGTAAGATGGTTTTATATAAAGTAGCTAATTGTTAAAGTCGGAAGATTGATTGACAGACTACAAGTGTTGTAATCAGAAGTGGTTGGGTTGCGACTCGCTTTTGGTAATTCTGAAAGTCAAGAATCTCTTATGTCCACAAGTTACCCGGATCTACCCGATACTATATAAACAAAAGGTGAATTTAAATAGATCGTTTTTCTTTCCTTTTAGATTCGTAATCCAGATTTTTAACAAAATAGTTGTGTTTGAATAAAAAAATATCAAATAGATGTATTAAATATTTATCAAAACAATACACTAGTCAAATATTTATAAAAACAATGTTTTTTTTAAATCTTTAGCTATTGTTTAACTTTTACTATTTCTTAATAGAATTTGTTATCTTTTTTTAACTCTTTGCTATTAACTTTTGTAAAAAAAAATTACAAACCTATCACAAGAAATTGAATGAATCTCAATAAATCTCCTTAATTGTTAATCGAATTCCTTTATAAACGATAATGCTAGATATCTTAAATTAAAACCAACAAACGTACAATGTTTATTTGCATATAAATACATTAATGCCTTCTTACAAAAACGAAAAGAAAAAAAGAAACATTGCTATTGCTTAAGTAGATTAATTTTTATGTATCTTCATTTAAATTGGCTTAGACGGAGATTTTTTCGGATTATGACCATTTTGCTTAAAAATTCCATAAAGATGACCATTTTTCTCTTCATTGATATTCATTTCATTTCGTAGTCTCGTTGACTGAGGAAGAAATTTTTTATTCAGTAAAAACTTTAAATTTGGAAGTAATTCTCTAGATGACAATTATAATCAATACGCTTCATGATGAGGAAGTAGAGAAAAGTCAGATGCCCAAGTAGAACAATACTCTAGAATTAACTAATATTTATTAATATATTGCTAACTATTAAGGACACTTTGTCATGCACTAAAGACATAATAATATTAAGGACACTTTGTCACATGCACTAAAGACATAATAACATTGATATTTAAATACATTTCACTTACCGTATGTGCAAGTTTAGCAAATGACTCTAACTACCCTTCTCATTTTTGGGTCTGAATTTTTTACATTGTTTCTGTTGGCGTGTATTCGTTAGTAAAAGAGGTAGAGAGATTGCTTCTGGATTGAAAGTTTTATATCTGAACAAGGTGAAATACTAAAAAAAATATTGGTCTTGTCTTTTTGTGCAAATATTAAATCTATGTGAAATTATATTAACTAGTAAAGAAGCTAATGCCTTGCACGAGTTAGATTTTCATATGATGGATTCTAATCTTTGGGTGCAATTTCCAATGATGAGTTTGATCTGCAATATTAAAGTTCATACCTAATTAATTTCCCCATTGAGTAATAACCGTAAAAAAACTTTAATTTGCTACTTGAACAACAAACTTTCTTGAAACATAAACGCACCGCACCACAACTAAAACATCTGAAAAGTCACGATAAAAAATTTTCAATTTTAAAACCATTTAATAATCCAGAAATCATATGAAAATAATATTTCCAAAAGCATAGTCATAAATTAGAGTATCCTAAAATCTTCTATCAATAAAATATCCAAGGATGATGTGCACAAGCATGCCTTCGCCTTGTCCTGATCATCTGATGTACCTGAAACTATGAAATTAAATTGTAATCCAAAGAGCAGTGAGGTCCCCCAAAATACCCCACATAGTAGAACATATACAAACATGCATGTTGGGTCCATAGTCATCAGACTGGATTACCCAGAGTCCATAATATAAGTCTATATTTCCCTCCCGACCCTCAGCTTATGTCTGGATTGCTCTCGAGCCTAAAAAATAATTATGGATTGCCCTCATGGCCCTGAACTTATGTCTTGATTGCTCCCGAGTTTAATGGCTTCCGCACAAAATATTATAGCCTCAACCCAACCTCACAATGTCGCCTCAACCCAACTGCACTATATATCAAACAGTGACCAAAACTCATACTACAATCCAAAATACCCAAAATGCCCCTAGGTTAAACTTGGTCAACGATAAAAGGTCAAAATCTCTTTTCAAAATCTCATAGTCTGTCGTCATGTCATGACCCTTAGCTGTCACGTTGTGAACTAACGAGACAAAATAATCGAGGTGACCCATTCTCACATCGTGAGCCATGAATGCTTATGTCGTGAGAAACGTCCTGAACAGCTAGATACATTAAGCTCTTAACCACTTTTAGACAAACACCCAAAACTTCCATACAGTCTTATCTACTCTAAAATCTCATAAAAATCATGGTTTTTTTGGACATGCATGTCCAATGCATGTCCCAAACACTAAATAGGGCACAAAAGGAAGAAATGACATCAAATCTCATGCAACAGTCTTAAAACTCAACCATAATCAAGATCTAGCATTTATACTACTTATGGGACATTGGAGATCCATAATTTAGAATCTTTATGAATTCCAACCACTACATCATCTTATATATGAAGGATAAGGCATAAAAATATAGATCTAATTGTTGGGTCAAAAATATGGTTTATACTTTACTTTTCTAGGCAATTGTAGTTTTCGGTATAGGACCGAAAACAACCTTGGGTTTATTTGTAGTTTGGACCGAAAACCCATGTGTTTTCGGTCTAGCATTGGGTTTGGGTCTTGGGTTTGTGGTCCATATATATATAGTCATTAGGGGTGTGTATAGGGGTGTGACAAAAGGGGGGCCATAAGTGGGGCTAGAGCATATGAGAGAAGGGGGGACCAAGTCAAAAAGGGAAGCCATTGTTGAGTAGAGAGAGAAAGTTAGAGAGAAGAAGTGTGTGCGTGTGAATCTTATGTATGGAGCATCATTAAATATCATCAATTCATAGAGATTCATCAAGTTCTTCTTCTTCTTCTTCTCTATTTCATCTTGCATCATTCACTTGATTGGGATACCCCACCATCAAGTGGATATGATTGATACAGCAAGCTAATTTTTGGGACTTACAGTTGGGAGTCCACGTGATAGGGGACATCTCTCAACTGTACAGCATTCAGATATGTTTTTGAGAGTATGTGTCCTTTGCGGGAAGGGAAGAAAGGAAAGGATCACATATGGGGTTTGTTCTTAACGATGTGAAGAATTTTCGGATCTGTTCTGAGATCGAAATATGTGTGCTGTTCTCAGACCTTCTGGGTGCAAATTCAATCGGTGACTTACGGTTTGAGTTTTCTTCTCGATTCTCCTGAGTGTAATTCACTAAAGTCGAATTGTTTAGACTTTGTGCTCAATGTGTTGGTAGGCACAAAGGATTCAAAAGGACTAGACATTGATTGACAATGAAAGGACTAGACAATATGGACTTAGATAGTTTCATTTGGACTGACCATACGACGCTCGGGTAGATTGAGCA